TCAAATTAGTCTAGAATCGATTAATTTTATGGAAGAAAACCTTTCAAACAGCCATAGTCCATAAACTTCACACGTGTCAGGCTGCACTTGGCTCATGTATTTAAGGATTCCTACAACGTGAAATTCTTATCAAGTGGAACGTATCTACCACGTTATGGGGGAGGTCTACTGTACAAAAAAACTAAGCATAAAGCAATGCAATTAAACTATAAAATAATTCATATTTTGAACTTACAAGTGAAAATTGTGGCAAAATCATTTACTTTTACCATTTGCAGCCCAATTACTTATTTATTTACTTTCTGTAAACAAAATACAAGCTTCAATTTTGATTTTTTGATTGGTAATGAATCAAAATGTAGGACGAAAATCACTAAATTGGCCATTAATTTACATCAATGCCAATTTGAGATATTTATTAACTGTTACGTTCTTCGTAACAATACGATGAATTCTTGTTTCTGCATAACGTGTACATAGAATGTTAGCAATTTTTAAAAAATGCTATTTTGTGTGCAAATTATGTAGATATAATCAACATTTTACTGCTCTTCAGAGTTGTTAGGAATTTAAGAAATGTACATGATTTCATTTGTATATACAAATTACTTCACATTGATTTTTCAGAAGTAATTAATAGCATTGTAATTGTAGAGATCCCTAATCTTATTAACCTCAACCTGGTTTGGATGCCATTATAAGACAGTCATTCTGACATCATCCCACTTCAAAAAAATGTTTAATGGCAGATATCAACATTAATTCTCTTTTTCAGAGGAAAACATATCTCGCCGAGTTTCTTGGTGTTCGTTCAAGAGTTCTTGGCGTTCTTCTGTCATCAGATCAGTTTCGGGTTCCATTATGAGCTCTTCAATGTTCTTTATTTCTCAGATGTGATTTTTGTTACTCCTTAAGCTGCTTGAGTCTTCTAGATAATACAGTATCTTTCTTACATAAGATCGAACTGTGGCCTACTGTAGACCTGTTTGAGCCATACTGCCTAGCAACAACAGACATCAGACATCTGCCCACTCTTTATCTGTGATATTATACTCTCACCTTTCGAAAATGAAAACTGACGCAAAACTTAACGAGTACCCACCCAACAGTCTCGCGAATACTATAAAAAAATTCTTTCTGTCAGAAAAATAAAAAGCTGGAATTACAAGGGAGAGTTTCAAAGTTTGGAGGAATACTATCCAATCAGTATATACCGGGTAGAGTGTCGATGGCAATGTCTCCCACACTCCGAAAAGTTTCGAATTGTTGTCCGAAGACAAGGGAAGACCAATCAGTATTCATTATTTTACGTCGCTTCTTCTTGTGTCTGTTCTGTGAAGTATTCGTTGTCCAAACATAAAAATCTTTCACGAAAGTGTTCGTTATCCAATTTGTTCACTAACCAATCACCCACTGTAACTCTCTACAACCAATAGCCAGTGCGAAGTATGACTAAGAAATAAATAACAAATGTTTTCTTAAGAATTTTGACACTGTCCAGTGAGACATCACAACCTACATGATTATAATGTGTTGAGACTGCATATATTTGAAATAATTATATTTGACAGCTCTTAAATGTTCTTTGATTCTAATTTTTAATGTTCTGCCAGTTTCACCCACATAATGTTATTTCGGTTGATAGTTATATGATGCTTGCACCATTCAAGCTCTGATCACACTAAATGAATTCATGGGTCCTTCTTTGTATTTAAACTGTTTCCTATAATTCTCAACTGTAACTGTTTGATTCACGCAAGTCTCTCTCCCAATTTGGCTTACATTTTACCAAATACTCTTATTGATTTAACAATTCATCCACTCTATTTCTCTGTTTTTCCTATAAACATGTCCTCATTTAAAAACCATAAAATATTTCTCCAAAATGTCAGGTCAGTCAAAAATATATGTCTGTTTCTAGCCACAATTCCTAATGATTTCTATGACCTCTTTATTTTAACAGAAAATTGGTTACCCCATATTCCGACATATTTAATTTCAACCAAAAAGTATTATTTCCAACCTGCCTTAACAATTTCTTAGACCTTGCTTTTACTCTTAACTGTTCTCTGTCAGTCCTCTCAGTACATGGTTTAAAATCAGATCATGAAATCATATGCCTTGACATTCAAATTATTCCAGTCAAACACCAGACATGGCGTCATATAAATATCCCAATTTAGTCATCATTCAATCAGAAAGAAGCCTCAAATTTTCTCTGCTCAATTGATTGGACCTTCCTAGAATCTCCCCTCTCTTCTCAGAAATTATCAGATAAAATTTATGATATATTTAAAGCCACAATCAATAAGTTTCTACACTTTTAAAAAATCGACATTTCTCCTTACTTCACCTCGAGAAACTACATAACATTATTAGAAAACAATGGTCTAAATGGAACTAAACAAAAAACCCTCATGAATTCTATATACAGAGTCTAACAACAATGCTATTATCACAAACATCACATCACCTTCCTAGACTACTTCAATAGAATCTCGTCTGTTTTTTCCTCTGATCCCCATACCTTTTGGTATTTCGTTCCAAAGTTCTCTAAAACTTACACAAAATATTCTCCACTTCCAGATTATAGCATTTACAATATTTACAATAATATAAAGGCTAGATACTTCCAACTCTTATACTATGTTCGCACACAATCCACGACTCACTTCGATCTCGATTTACCTATAATCTAAATTGTGACTGTCGCTAGTCGAACGTCGTGCTGTTCGCACAGGCAGTCCGCTCAAGAAGAACCTGGCTATTACACGCGATCATAAAACTGACGTAACTACGCGGTAAGTCACAAACACCAACAAGCAAAATGGAAGTTTTGGTTAGAAATAAATACTTTTTCTTGCCGTACATCTAATAATAGAAAGATGTCGTCATCTCTCCAGATGTCTTTTTTATTTCTCTGTCGATAGCCCGACACGTGTTCCGCAGCCATCTTGTATTTTCTCAAACGCGTGGGATTGTGGGATCTCTCTTATGACTGGATCTAGTTTCGAGAACTCTCTCCAGTTGATCGCGATTGAACCTCGTTTCAGTCGAGATGGAAACGGTCTAGAGCATTCGCACCACAGGACACTCTCCGACCTCAGTCACAATCTAGATCGAAATGCTCGGTGCGAACGGGGTATTACCAGAAGTTAGCAACATCCCTAATTAATGGTTAATGTCTAAAATAAATGCCCTTCCCAAAAAAGACAGGATCTCTTACAGACCAATCACTATCTTACTAGCTACATTAAAATTATATGAAATATGTTTACACCAATAAATATATACCCCATATAATGTCAAAACTTTCAACCTTTCGACACTGTGTCATTCGTAATTATTCTACTGCCACTAATCTTGAAACATACACAATATTACAAAAAGGATGCCAATTTATATTGTATATCTTGGCATTTCTGAGGCTTTAGACTCAGTCCTTCCCAATCTGCTTCTTAAAACCCTTATTGACAAATTCGACATAAATCTAGTCTTTTGCTGATGGCTAAATAATTATTACTTATGAAGAATGTGTAAAATTTGCATCAGCAATTTTGAATTTTCAAACTTTTCCCCTTTGCGATATTCCTCGAGGTTCCATATTAAGTATGTTTTTCTTCTCTGCTTATATAGATAAACTCTTTGATAGCTAGTCTTCCAAAATAATTGCTTACACTGACGATATTAAAATTTTGAACAATGACCCATTGTCTTTACAAGTAGATATAAATTCAATATGTTCTGCCTTTGTCAGTCACAACTTAAACATTAACATTCATAAAACTTTTATCATGTGTTAATTTGTAACCCTTCCCTCTACTCGATTCATATTATTTTCCATAAAATAAATTATGTTAAATCCTAGTGTGATCTCAGTATTATATGTGACGACAAACAAACTTTTTATGATCATATTTATAAGAATGTTGAATCTGTCTCCATTAGATGTGGCATTTTATGGTGCTTTTGTAAAAATATTTCCTCCAAATCCATTTTAAGGGCTATTTTCTTTGCAAACTTTCAGTCCATCATTGATTACAGCCTCCCTGTCTGGACAATGACTGTTCCATCTTTATTCCGTAAAGTTAATACAGAATTAAATGAGGTTTACTCACTTCTGTATAAATTCAGTAACCTAACCTACACTAATAACCCTGAAGTTACCAGAATTCATGTTAAATTACCAGATCTTACTAACCGTCTAAAATATTTTGATCGTTTACTTTGTTACAAAAATTTTAACGGAATAATCTACAATTACTGGTTCTGTCTGCATGTCCCTACAGTTACAATATGTAATAATTCTTGTCTATTTACCCCTTTCTACAATCTAACAATATCCCGTAGATCATTTTTTTTATTGTATATCTGATCAGATGAGTCCAGTTGAACATCACTTGTACGGTGATTTCTATTATAAAAACAAATGTAAACACATTTTATATAATATGTAAACTATCTTTTATTTCCAATTGTTATTTATCTGTTATATTTTAAATGTTGTTTAGCTTGTGTTTTTTTTATTTTGTCGGGGTTTGTTATCTCACGGATGGAAATCATGACATCATCATTTGTCATGGTATATTTTTTAAGGTTATTAATGAATTGGTCAGTACTTATAATACTAGTAAGGAGCTTTAATTTTAAGATAATTTTCTAAATTGTAAAATACATAGAACTTTATATCTATTAATGGTCTGTATGCTTCAATGGCTTTGTGTTTTGATTCTAATGTTGAGCCTAGATATTCTTAAATTGTATGATTAATTTTACACTTATCTATAATATCACATATCACTAGCCTGTTGATTAGATGCAAATCAGCAACTGACAATCAGTATTTGGTGGTTGTATCAAATTAGCCACCAACGAGTGAAAATTACAGACTGAAGGCATCACAACTGAGTAGCATATTCAGAAAAATACACTACTCAGTCTTGTGCAGTGTTTTCTGTAATAACTTACATGTACCATAAACTTTTAAGGAATAAATTTACCTCAACAAGAGTTGTTCTAGACGATTTAATGCTTCTGCATATTTTTCGGAAGCCTCCTTATATTTCTTCTGTCCGTAAAATTCATTTCCCTGTTCCTGAAGTAAAGGTATGGACTGAAGTTTCTCCTCAGGATCCATGGCCCACGATTCCTTTTCGTAATCACCGGGTGCATTGACGCTGATTAACTCTGTCATTACGGTAAAGAAGTTAAGGTTTAGATCAATTCCACCTACATTATGTATTGTCAATATGCTTTACCAAAAATAAACGACAAATCTGTCGGCTTTTTCATTATGCCATCAAGGTCGGGATGTCCAAGCCCTTCCTTCATTCCAGTAAATCCACAACAGTGAGAACTGGTGTCACCTTTCCACACACCTGCAAACTGCCTATAACTCTTCGACACCAGAGGATAAGCATCTACAAACTGGAAAAGAACGTCACTATAAACAATACAAAATAACACATACATTCATCATTCAAAGACATTTTCTAATTAAATTTAAATATCTAATATAAAAATAGCATTATTGACTAATTCCGAAACCATGTCTTTTCACAACTGGGAGCATAGCTAGACTCTGGGCATCTTTAACACTCTTTTATATACTTATTTTTATTCTGCTTTGTACTTGTTCTATTTATAATTTTTTTATATTCCATACTAAATACCATATTTATTTGCATGTAAGATGATTTCGCATATAGAACTTGGTTTGACTTTATAGATCAAAATAAAGGAAATTAGATTTATTAATACAATTCTAATTTTATTTTGTTTAACCACAAATAAAATATCAAATGCTTGCATTAAGGCAAACAACCATGTTTTTTGACTCTATCACCTCTTGTCTACTTGGATACACCCTCTGAAGCACTTTGTTACAACTCTCCTCTTTCTCACTCTCATTCCACAAAGCATCATCCTTTAATATGTTGAGTGAATTTCAAATGCAGTATTTCCTCAATAATTTTACTATCAGCTCTTGAGGAATGCTNATTCGTATAAAGACGCTAAAAGGGACTCGTAAAACGTTGTCGCCGAGTTGTGTCGTGGCAGGATTGGTTGAATCTGGACCAATAGTAGACGAGCAACCAAACTACTTACACGCTACAGAGAGTTTAGGTGAGTAAGTTGAGTTTACTATCATCTGTACAGTATTATATATAAATTAGGTACTGTATACAGGGCCGGATCATCGCATAGACAAATGAAACAAATGTCTAGGGCCCGGTTTTTAGAAGGGCCCGGTCAAACTGTCTATTTTGAAAAGATTTGTAAATAAGATAGATTACTCTTCTGTTGGACAACTGTATAATACTGGTAAAATTGGTAAAATATTATATTATTTAAATATTAACCAAAAAGGTTAAATTAAANTACCAAAATAAGTGCCAGTTTCTCACATAAAAGTCCTCTCGAGAGGCATCCTCCCTCGTCAGACAGCCTACGTTACCATAACCAAAACGAAACAAACCTACTTTTACGAAGTCACCAAGCAATGACGCAACAGACCATAACCACTGCCACAAACTTACAGTTCTTCTCGATGCACCATATGTGTGCATCTGCCCCAAAGCGACAACGCGGCCTCGCACCGAGGTAGCAGCTAATGCCATAAGCAATACATTGAATGCCACTATAGGTAATCAAGTCATCATAAAAACTCCTAATGACACACACAATGGAATAAAAAGCCTAAACATAATTTGGTAAAATTCCATACGAGGGTTTCACACCCCCAGAATCATAGACCCCTAGACAAACAAAAAAGTCATAGGAACCATATCTGTACATGTAACCCTTTGGTAGAAACTCACCTCCAAAGATCAGTTTTTAACAAGCATCAGTATACTACCTATTCTCCACTCTCTGCATTGCCTTGACCAACTCTCCGCAAGTAGTCATGCACTTCAGTGAAAGCTATCACTCGCATCAAAACACCCAAGAGAAGGGATAGCCCACACGCCCCCTAAAATTATATACCATCGAGTACTGTACAAACGATCGAGTGGGCCACTCAAAGTCGTCAGTCGTGTGGGGCTAAGTAGTTTAAATGCAATAGTGATGGAGCAAGGCAACCGACAATCTCTTGCAACCCAATTTCGTGAGTCAGTATCTCACAAGGGGTCACTGCTAGAGGTATGGTTCCTTTCACTTTTTTGCTCTTATGGGTATACTTTACAGTTCAAATACGATTCCAACCACATCATTCAGAGCTGGAACCGTGCCCATAATTTAAAATCTTACGTTTTTCTGGATGTCAAACTGTGCTATTTCTCCAATTCTCATGCTCTTCAGGCATTCTTCCCATATTGGCATCTTGAACTGCTTACCAAATATCAGTTCCATCGGCTTCTTCAGACATTTGCTGTCGTCGATGACGGTTCCGTCGGGTTTTGAAGTTTTAAAATGAAACGTCGCCTACAAAAATAGCATTCGATCAGTAAACATATTCAAATCATTCCTTGGTTAATGTTTACCTAGGTAGTCCAAGATGGCCGCAGTGGGGACCCACGTTCTAATCTAACCTAACCTATTCTAATAAATTAACAAAATTACTAATGTAAGATGTAAAATAACTCAAAAAATTAATTATATGAAGAAAGGAAAATTTTCTTAATTTATTAGAATAGGTTAGGTTAGGTAGGAACGTGGGTCCCCCACTGTGCGGCCATCTTGGACTACCTAGGTAAACATTAANGTATTTTACTTTCACTCGGTTCTCGGTCCCGAGTACCTACAAGTCAGGCTTTTTTATGCGCGCATGATTTGGGCACTTAATACTCTGTGCCAAATTGCAACTCCTGACATGTATTCCTTCATACCTGTAAGCTGGTAACACAGCAAGCAGTGCGATTTTATAAACAAGACATAGTCTCGTTGACAATTATTTTTTTTAAGGTAATATTGTTATTTTACAACAACTTTTGTTAGACATTTAATGAAACAAATTTCAATATTTTAAATTTATAAACAAACTGTTCAAACTTTTCTAGAAAAACTAAAATTTATTGTTGTGTATTAAATATTTTTTATTAATAAAAATTTAAGATTTGTTTTAGTTTTTCACATTATTTAGTTTTGTTTTATTTATTGTTTTATATTTTTTGTGTGCTCTATTTCTAACGGGAGAGGGAGGGGCCCGGTAAGAAGAAAATGTCTAGGGCCTAAAGAGGGTTAATCCGGCCCCGGGAAGGTAGAATGAAACGGTGAAGACGTATTTCCCGCCAACCTAGCCGTTAGCGGAAACGTTGGACGGGAGAGGAACTTTCCAGAACGCTTGGCCGGGACTTATCGTCGGCGTTGAAAGCTCAAAGGCGGAAATAAATTTCCATCCGCGTACGAGTTGCCAAGTTTATCGCCGTCAATATTTATAAAAGAATTGATATTTTTTATTGTATGAATCGCGATATAAAACTATTTCGAAGCAGTTTAGAATGGTTTTGTTATTTCCATTTTGTAACGATAATTTCTCCCAAGACTGTCTCGGTGCTGGGCGTAATCGCAACGTTTATACACTAACCGTTCCTTCGTCGTAATTACTTTCCTATTTTAAATTAATAATTTGGAAATTCTCCAAGCTCAATTTTGAAAATTGTTCCGCGCGTATCTCTCGTCGTCCACATTTCTGTTCGACAGATACGCTAACGACCAGAGGACCACCAGTTCCGCTCCCCGAAAAATGGGCGTCCGTAACGCCCGAATAGGGGCCGGTTACCTTCGAGACCTTCCGGAAGGCATTATCTCCGCGTATGGCCGAGCGATTAAGCCGCACGGGCCGATCTCTCGCGCGAATAGAGGACGTCTGGGTCTCCGGTTAGAACGAAACTGAGCGAGCACGTAGCCCTAAAAATAGAATTGTCGGGTATTAATTAATGTATCGCGGCTACGACCGCGACTACGTAATCGTAACTGCCCGCCAAGCGGGGTTAATTAAAAGAGACATTAGCATTTAATGCTACGGGTCGGAGGGAGTGCTCCACTAACTATAGAAAGAAATGTAGCCTTAAACACAGTTCCTCGCGCCCACTTCTCGAGCGAGAATTGGCCGTTTAGTTTATAAATCTTTGCAAGTTTCGATTCTCTTTCTACGACGTTAGCGGAGGGGATAAGACCCTACGCGACGTACGCTCGAACCTTGACAATTTCTGTCGTTTCTTTCGTGTAATAAAATTTTATTTTATTTCATCGCGCCAATAGCGCCATTTACATTTACGGCTTTAAAAAACGAGAGATCAAAACGCGACATTGTTTCCCGTTTTGAGAAAACAAAGTTTCTGTATACAGTAATACACCGAACTTACGCGATAGGTGGGACCGAGCGATAACCGCGTAAGTCGGGGAATAATTTCGCAATTCGTATAAAATCCAAGTAGGATGTATGTAAGCTAATAAATGTTCTCGTTAATCTTGTCTCGTCTTTTGATTCGTTGGCGGTTACAAGGAATCACCACATATTCTCTCGAGTCTCCGTAGATATAACAAACACGGAAATAAATTGTAGCTATGTGTCGATTCCGCGCGACACGTCCGAACAATAGTGTGGGGGGAGTGAGTAATCGAAAGTGGCGTGGCGCTCAAACAAGAGGAATCGACGAGATTTGAAAATCGCGTAACTCCGGGTTGGCGTAAGTCCAGGAATTACTGTATTTAACTCTGGCTTGCGGTTAAATAAAATTTTTATTTCTTCGTATTTAAGTATTGTTATATTTGAAGCGTAACAAACGATTAAAAAACGGTACGGTACGACTCTACTACCGTCTTTTTTTGTCTATCCGAAGCTTATTCACTGGTGTCGACGTACTACGTAACCGTAAGGAAAAAATCTTTATACGCGCTTTAAACCCGAGAAATAACAATACGATAAAATAAGTAATTTTGTTAGACACGCACAGAAACAAAAAACTAAAATTGCGCGGGTTGGAGCCTAGGCGGCCTAGTTCCGGTATCCGGCGTCTTATCCACCGGGCCGAGGCCGTAAGAGAAGGCAAACTTTCGGACTTACACGCTAAACGCCAGAGAAGCGGGTCCAATTATTTCGAGGGCTACTCGCTCGCCCGTCCCGTCCCGTCCCGATACGAATTACGCGGACGTCGGTCGGGTTAGGGCCGGACGGTACCGTACTACGTAGTCCCTATTTTACCATAAAATTAACGTAGGCGGTGATAGTAGTAAATTCGAACGGGCTACCGCCGAAAATCGACACGGCAATTTCGGAAACGCGCGGTCGTTCCGTTTTAATTAAGTTAAACGGGGAAAAATCTTGGAAACTTTAGCCCGGGTAGCCTTCTTTGGGCGTAATTGGCGGGATCCGCATTAACGCGCACGGGCCACCCCGTTTTTAATTAGTCCGTAAAATCGCCAATTTAAACGCCTTTAATTAATGGATACGGTATAAATAATAAGCGCTTATCGTTCACTCATTGGCTTTAATTTCGTATAGCGCCCGCCTTCTAACTTGGACTTATTTTTCGACTCCGTCCCGTAGGCGCTAAGGCCGGGATGGGCCAAAGCCGGGCGCGACCACTTACGACGAAAGTGGACTTCCGATAAAATTGGTCGTAACCGAAAACGTGGTGGTGAAAAATTCAGTTTATCCGGACGCTCCGTTAACGGAGGGAACAGAAACAGGGATAGACGTTCGACGGTTAGAAGGAAGTGCGTAGAAACTGTCCGACGTTTTTCTCTTCGGAAGGCTTCGGTAATGTCTGCATTCACGTCGAATTTCGTCTACGATCGTACCGTACAGTACCTGTACCTAAAACTATCGACTTGTTCGGAAATGATTTTTTCCGCCAGAAGTAATAGTCGAATCCATCCTGCCTTCTATCGTTTCTCTTCTTTCCGCTTCGCACGTATTTGGATAAAGTAAAATTACGCCTTCTTTTTCTCCTCCCTTTTATCACGGAAACCGATCCGGAAGAGCAGGCGCCGAGACGAAACCGAAATGCGACGGCGGATTTACCCCAGCCGCGAGAATAGGAGGCGGCAACTAAGCACACCGGCGTAAGACTCGGCTTTTAACGGCGGTGGAAATAAGTAACGTAAATGTCCCGTAACGGATAATTTCGACATTACCTAACGCCGGGTACGGGTGGATTTTCGTGGGGCGCTACCCGGCCACCTCCGGATAAGTTACGCGGTATAGTTTTCTAGAAACTCCAGGCTCGGGCGGTAACGCGCGCTTCCGAATAAATCGACCGTTTGAGCGTCGATTTATTCGGCTAAAGAGCGGACAGTAGAGAGAGAGCGGATTTTTTCGTGGGAGACTCGCAGCCGTTGCCGCCGGTGTAAGAGAAAGCGAAAGGCGGAAGACGGCTTTTTATTAAGGAGACACTCCACGTATTTCGTCCGGGCGCAAACGTCCGGCACGGAAGAAGAAGCGAAGTGGCAATTTGGCTTCCTTCCCCACCAACTCGGCGTACCGGCGGATGAGGCGAGAAGTCCGTAGGAACCGGCCGAAACCGTCCATGTCCGACGACGTCCGACTTACGATAGGACTAAAGGCTTTTCTGGCAACGTGGTCGCCTTGCCAGTACGGCAACTTCCGCTAAATGCCCGGAAGCTCTTCCCTGGGCCAAGACTTTCCTAATATTATCACCGGAACAGTTACGCCTCCGATTCGCGTGCCGAATTTTATCCCGGGTCGGTCGGACACACTTTCCGCTACTTTCGGTGGCGGAATCTCGGCGCCGTTTGATGGCGGTAAAAGTTTCAGCCGACCGTCCTTAATTTTTACCCGTTCCCGGCCAAACACTCGAAGGTGTTTGGCCGGGTGTCCGCGGTTCTCTACCTCTCGGTGGTACGCTTCCGCCCGCCGGTTCTAAACTCCAGGCCGGGGCCGGCGGCGAAAGAAGACCGATTCCTTCCTCCGAAAATAATTCGGCCTCTCCGGAAGACCGTTACTTATCGGCGCGCGGGGATTCCCGGCCGGTGGAAGGCGTCCAAGGCAAACTCCATTCGCGTCGCGCGTCCGTCGGCCGAGATTTACCCGGCCGCGCGAAAAATGGGTCGCGGCCGCCCGAGCGCGGCGCCGGAAGAAGTACAGCCATTCGGGGCGGGAAAAGAAGGATAAAGTAATTTATTAAATAGCGGCGGCGCCTCTTCTTCGACGGAAGACTCTAGTCCCGGGAGCCGACGGTCCGACGGAGGAAAGGTGGCAGCGGACCCACGAAGGGAGGATAGGGGTTCTCCTCCGGTATCTCGGCCGTCAGCAGGTAGGGCCCGGACAGCACTCGGAATCCGCGGTCGTCGGCCGAGTAGCGCACCACCCGAAACAGGCCGGGTCGGTCCAGGTATCCGTAGCTGCCCCGCACCTCCCCCCGCGAGGTCCTCTCCTCCTGGTGGAACAGCTGGGCGGGCCCTCCGGTGCCCGTGTCGTATCCGTAGCGGTAGCTGCCGGGGCCGCGGTGCCCGGTCGTCTGGAAGTGCGTCCGGCGTCCGGAAGGCAGGCGAACGGGGCGTCCGAATCCCGAGGGAGGCGGAGCCGCCGCCCAGGCCGCCAGGGACAGCAGCAGAACCTGCAAGAGAAAGAGTGGCAGACAGAGCAAGAGGCAGGCGACGGTCCGTGACCGAAACAACTCACCCACACCCGCGGCGCCATCCCGTTCGACGAGAGTCCGGCCCGTGATCTACCGATGCCTCCTCCGCCGGATCCGGTTTTTATGGCGGCCGCCACCGCCATCCGCGCTCCTCCTCCTCCTCCTCCCGGGCGCTTCGGGCCTTTCCCGCGTCCGGAACCGGAAAATCCCCGACTCCTTCCGCCGACCCGTAGAATCCCCCGGCGCCGCGCGTCGGGAAAGACAACCATTTCCTCCCGGCGGGCGGTC